CTCCCCACTCTGCTGAGTGAATGCACCACCCCTTTGCTCCTGCTGTCCCTTTGCAAGAAATGTTTATCTTCAAAAAAAAGCCACAGAGTTAGCTCTCAGTAAATGTTCGAGGAAAAAAAAAATCCTATGGCCACATAGCTAGTTGGTGGTGGTTAAAACTAAAATTAGATCCCAACCTCACTTAAACAAATATTTTTTGATGAAGAAACGCATTAACGTAGGTTAAGACATTTGTACAATATCCAGCCCATTCCAAAGCTCCAGGCATGAAAGCTCTCTCCTGGGGTCCCAGGAGCTAGATCACCCCTTTCTCTTAATCCACCCAACTTCCCCTCCATGCTTTTTGATCTCCACTGGGAGATTCATTTTGCCTGGAAAGTGACAGATAAAATCAGGTCAATAAGCATCCATCATGTTCTGAACTAGATGATCTCAAAGGGCACTTCCAGCCCGGCCTCCTAGGTCTTCTGGCCCTTTGCAAAATTATGCGTACTAGGTTAAGAGTTCAGGCTCTGGAATCAGGCCTCATTCACACCTCAGCTCTGCAACACACCAGCAGACTGAGAGGAGGGACAGAAACCAATATAAATGTGCAGATAATTTAACCTCCCCCCATCTGTTTCATTTTTTTAATAAATCAAGGGTAGTCATAGATGCACTTCTTACAGGTGAGGATTAAAGAGGATAAGGCCCCTGAAGTCCAGACAACAGAACCAGGATGTGGGGTGTGGAAGAGTCCCCAGGATATGCTACTGTGTATTTTTGTCAAACGGACAAAAATTCAGATGCCATAAGGGGAAAAAAAAAATCAAGGTAATGAGGAATGAATGAAAGCAAATTTCAAGAATGAGTATCTGTGGCACTCATGGTTCTGTTAAAGAAAAAAAAAGTGAAATATGCAGGGATAGTATGAAAGACTACAAATATATCTAGATGATTAACTTCAAAAAGAAGGATTTTTGTTGCTGTTGTTGTTAATGAGCTTTGCCAAATAAAACTGTGGCTTTTATTACATTTGGTGAGCCGGTTAATTAGAGTCTTATTGGCAAAATCCAGCCCTTTTGATATCCTTGGTGGATGAAATTGGGGATCAGCGACGCATAGAAGGAGTTACACATCCCTTTTCTCCTGATCTCACTGCATCACTTGCAGAATCTCTAGGATAAACTACAGAGACTAAAAACTTTCACAAAATAGCAGAAAACATTTCTGGAGAGCAAAGCGTACGACGCGGTGGCACTGACTCTGGGGAAGGAACAGGAGCCTTGTTACTAACTTGGGCAGACCTGGGGAACGTCTGAAGGGCTCAACTTTGTATTTCAATCCTGGAAATGTATCAAATAGCCTGGCTGTTTTGTACAGTCTCTGCAAGTCCATAAAAAAAGGATGCAGGCTACATTCCCGAACAGATGTGTACTGCGTGTCCCCCACATACAACACTGCACTCAGTGTTGGGAAAATGAGTTTTACTCAATCCCCATTCCCCACTGACAGAAGTAAGACACAATGTCGCAAGCACTGTGATTCACAGGGGCCGTGGGTTCCCATCGGCAGTGCACTTCTCTCTGGCTACCAGATAGGGAGACTCTTCCCAGGATAAAAATACCCTATGGCATCCAACATGTATTGACTGATCAATCAATAATCACCCAGAAGGAAATCTCTAATACTGCCAGGCTAGGGGCCTGAAAGTCCCTCTGAGACCTGTCACCAATTTTAAAAGTAGGGTCTTAAATTAGCAAAAAGAAGACATGTTTATCCCATCTGCATATGGCATAAAGTTGGGAGAGAGCTAGCGAATTGACGACGGAGGCAAGATTCAGAAAGATCTAGCAGGCTGGGAGGATGGCCTGAAACCAAGAAAAATGTAAAAATTTGTATTAAAAAACCAAATATATAAAAACAGGAGGAGAGCGAGCTGGCTGGGAAGCAACCCATGTGAGAAGACACGGGGAATGATTAACTGGAAGTTCTTCTTGGTTTGACTACAAGCTTCTTTAATGAAACCAAATGTCATCATTAAACCGTAGTTTCCTTCAGGGCAGGGATCGCATCTTAAATATTTTAATATCCCTCCTTTGCCTACCATAGGGCCAAATGCAGAGTTTGAGCTCTACAGAACTTTCTTAAACGGGGTCAAAAATGAAAAAGCGTAAAGCAATAGGGCTCTACTAATGAAGGAGTCGTGGTCAGAAGCACCAGGAAAGGTTGTCCACTCTCCTCTCATGAGCCTTCCTGAGACTGCTCTGGGCTTTCTCCTCCTGTCTCCTTAAGCTGATAACCAAAATCAGAATCCTCTGCATGACTTAGAGGGCTGACCTGATGCCTGCCTGACCTCCAGTCCCACTTGGCGGGGCTCTGCTTGCTTACACAGCTCCAGCTTTTTCAGTTCCTCCAAGGCCCCTGAAGGAGTTGGGGACTCTGCAGGGAAGACTCCTCCCTCCAACCCCGCCTCACACACACGTGTTCTACCTGCTTCTCCTGTCTCACTCTGTCATGTTGCTTTAAGTATTTCAGGGAACCCTCCCCTGAACCACCGCAGCCCAGCCCTGAGCCCTCGATTGCACGCTCTCCCGGTTCCCGACGTTGTGTCCCCTTTCTAGCACTTACTGCAGTCCTCATTCAGCCTCAGCCATGGCACTGTTGTTTACCATCGGCCTCCCTGCTACAGTGTGAGCTCCGTGAGGGCAGGGGCATTGGCCGTCCTGTGTCTTCACCACTGGATCCCAAGTCCCCAGGCCAGCGTTTCTCAAACTTTGGTGCCCATGAATGACCTGGGGACCCTGGCAAGCTGCAGATTCTGATTCAGTAGGTCTGGGGTGGTGCCTGACACCCTGCATTTGTTCCAGATGATGCTGATATTACTGGTCCTCTGATCGACTTCGAGTAGCCAAGTCCTGCAGCTCATGTGTGCTCCCTGCCTTTAAACCACCCCCTTCTTTCCATTCCGCCTGCCAGGCCTTCATGGGATCCCCTCGAATCTCTCACTCGGATGACCGGGTCCCCCAGTTCATCTTCCTGCCTCTGTTTCCCAGAGGTTCTGCCCCTGGGCCACACACCTTCAAAGTGTCTTTCTGCAATGTAAGCCTAATCATGTCTCCCCCCTTCTTTTAAAAACATTAGAGACTCCCTGTCACCTTGTAGGAAAAACAAACAAAAAATGAAAACCAAGTTTCTCAGTCTGGCATTCAAGGCTTACCCCTGCCTACTTTTCTGGTCCTACCTCTTCTGTGTCACCATCTTATACCCACACTCTTGCCCTCTCAAGGCCTTTGTGGGTCCTTGAACTCACAAGGCCATTCCCTTCCTCCCTACCTTTGCTTAGGCCATTGACTTTCCTTGGAATACCCTCTCCAGCTCCATGTGCCTGATGGAACAGACATCCACACTCTGATACTGTATGAGAAGCCTTTCTAGGATTCCTCTCTCATGGAGAATCGGCCACTCCTTCATTTGGGTTCTGCTGCAGCAACTTGTGCTAAACTAGCTTGTTTAGGGTGCCTGGGTGGCTCAGTTGGTTAAGCGACTGCCTTCGGCTCAGGTCATGATCCTGGAGTCCCGGGATCAAGTCCCGCATCGGGCTCCCTGCTCGGCAGGGAGTCTGCTTCTCTCTCTGACCCTCCCCCCTCTCGTGTGCTCTCTCTCATTCTCTCTCTCTCAAATAAATAAATAAAATCTTAAAAAAAAAATAAATAAAAAATAAACTAGCTTGTTTACAGAGCAGCCTTCTTCCTGCAGTGAGTCCTCTGAGCACAAAACGGCGTCTCACTCACCCTGTAACCTTCATGCCTGGCACCTGGCTGGTACATAAGGCATATATAACATGAATGAATGAGTGTTACCATGCTCTGCTCTAAATGCCATATTTTAAGGGGGCGTTCTTTGACACAGTGGAGTCCTTCTAAGGAAGGATCATCAGCATTGGCCCCAAATCCCCACGAGAAACAGTTCAAAAAATGGTCTAAACATGAAGCTTGGAGAAAAAGATGTGTCTGCACATAGTAGGTACTCAATAAATATTCATGGAGTGAATGAACAAATGAGTCATAAGAGCTCTCTTCAGATGGAACTGTCAAGTAAAAGAGAGATGGCATGCATTCTGAATTATCTGTAGTTCCAGGAGCTCAAACATTATATCAAAGGCAGAGATCTCAGTCCGATAAAATGATGAATTTTCCAACAAGACCAAGATGTACCAAATTTCACTTTTTCTAGGAGCCACCTAAATGATCTCCTTCTTTTACAAATATAAAAACTAAGTGACACGACTTAAGTCTCTGGACCAGTGAGAGTTATTTTTGTGGCAAATGACAGAAAGAAAGTTAAGTTGTGGGTGATTCATTGCCTCGGATGGAGTCATTAGGTGCCCCTCTTTCTCCTCCCAGCCCCGGCCTTCCCCTGTGCTGACTTCAGTGTAAAGATCCTCCTCTCCCCACCCCCACCATAGCTCCCAGCTCACCTCTCCCTCCCTCATTTCAGCCCTCCTCTAACAGAACCATCTGGAACGGTGGCTGAGCGAAGCCCATGGCCCCAGGAAAGTGGTTCTCTGGTGGAACAGAGGATCACATAGCAATGCTGGACCCAGTGCACCTGAGGGAGCGGGGGCAGGGACAGGGCTGAGAATGGAGGAGAGGGCAATTTCCCAGACTAAGACGGGCTAAGGGTTACCCAAAGGAAAAATAAGAGCCGGAGGAGAAAAACCACAGTTAGCCATCACGGCCTAATCCTTGCTCCTACAATAAAACATGTTAACTGCATTCAATATTCCATTTTTTGCACATAATATAAAATTTGGTTGACAACCACTGGTTATTAAAAACTCCCAAGCAGGGGCACCTGGGTGGCTCAGTTGGTTGAGCGACTGTCTTCGGCTCAGGTCATGGTTCCAGGGTCCTGGTATCGAGTCCACATCAGGCTCCCCCTGCTCTGTGGGGAGTCTGTTTCTCCCTCTCCCTCTGCTCCCCCTGCTTGTGCACGCTCTCTCTCTCTCTGTCAAATAAATAAATAAAATCTTAAAAAAAAAAAAAAACTCCCAAGCAATTCAACCTACATTTTACTAACCTGGTAAGAATTCACTAGACCAGTTGCGCATTGACCTTCTTTATTCATTTCTTCAAAAAAAATTTATTGTATTGAGGATATAATGATGAGAAAAAACTGTCCTCATGAAGCTTACGATCTCATAGAGCAGGCAAATAAGTACAAAAACAATTGCAGAGCAGGTGCCAAGTAGTGTGAAGAAATAACCTATTTCCATATGACCGTACCAAGATATAAAAAGATAAGCAAAAGTTTAACCAAGCTTCTTCACGACTAAATATCTGTTTTCTTTGTTAACTTGACCGGCTGCATCTCTGAGTGATGATACAGATTGGCCGAAAAGTTATTTTTTGCTGAAGTAATCTCAATGTTTCCCTGGCCTACCAGAAGAAGAAACACTATCCACCGGCTTGGAGCACTCGGTCGCAAACCTAACAAACACTCACGGACGTCCCATTGTGGACACTGAGGTCACCACCTTCAGAGCACAGAAAACAACAGATTACTTTAGATGAAATGAGCAGCTCCTATCAGTGGCTGGGTCTATAAAGAATAAAAAAGGAGAAAGTGAGGAGAAAAGCAATGTCTTGATTTCCACACCATTTAATTGCTTGTGTCACCCATACTTCCGACTCTGGTCCTGTTTCACTTATTTCTCTCGGGTGGATGTTTTGAACTTCTAGCATGATCCCACAAGGGGTGTGACCTCTCAGATGTCCCCTTTGTTGTGGACATTCTTTACGCCATCTGTAGTGACATGGCCTACTACTCATCCTTCTGAATCTGCACATGAGGACGTTTGGGTGAGACTCCTCTCGGGAGGAGAACACCAATGCTCTATGTTACTTGTCTCTCCAGCCTCGATCATGTATTTCAAGTTAGTTAGGTTCCGGATAATGGCAGGGGTAGTTGGGTTACAAAGTTTACCAGGCTTCTATTCTCTGCCTTTCACCTGATTTTTAAAAATTTTCCTGTTGCTTATTGAAATCTTAGCCGCTATTAAGAAGCACACTGTACTTACACTGAGTCAGGAAACATCTAGAAAACTACTCTGGATTATTTCGTTATCCCTCTTACAGGAAGCCCAGATGTGCTACATTCAGGTGACCTAAGAGGCAAGGGGTTCCATTGTAATTGCTGGCCCACAATGTGGGCCCAGCTGGGCTGACATTTTAATTTGTCTCTTTTGTGGCTTCCATTATCCTGGGGACCAAGGTATAAACGTGTCTGGAATCACAATTTGTGGAAAGTTAGTAAAATTTTGGAACAGTGCCAGGACCATTCAGTGCTTGGGATGGATTTCTTGGAGTCTCTCCAACTGTATGGGTTGTCCATTGTGCCATGTGGCCAGACTTGAGTCTAGAGTAGACAATTAAGATGAAATTATGTTTACTGCAGCCCAGTTGCACAATGGAAAAAAACTAAGGTGATCGGTCTGGAGAGGGTCGCTTCTGTGTTTTAGGAGACTTTTGAAGTTTCCACAGAGGAATGCTGCTTGCCTGTGGTGAAGCTTGGGGGTGCTTAGATAGCAGTTACTATATAAATATAAAAGATGATTTAAAACAGAAACGATGGCTGAGGCTGGAAAGGCTCTGGGTTTTGGCAAATGTGCTGTCTACTGAAAACGAAGGTAGCTTGATGCGATAAACAAAAGCATGGCATTCTGGTTCAGCCTGGGTTGGTAACCCAGCTTCACCACTTTTTGGCTGGAAGACTCTGAAAAATTTCGCTGCTTCTCAGAAAAGCAACAGTATCGTGAAGTTAGGGTTAAATTAGGTAATACATACAAAACATTTAGTATAATGACTGACGCTACAAAGTGTTCTGCCAAGCCTTGTAAGTAGACAATTTAAAACGTTATATAAATCCAGTGGCTTATAAGGCTTTTAGGGTCTCAGACCTCCCTGGGAACTTGATGAAAACTATGGGTCCTTGTCCCTCAGGGGGGAAATGCGCATATACAAAATTTTTGTGCACAGTTTTAGGGAATTCAAAGACACGAGGCTGTACAACCATAGACTTTAGGTGAAGATCCTTTGTTCTAGGGCTAGGTCCATTCCAAAGAGAGAAAGAAAGTCCTCAGTTTTATTTATTTTGTATAATTTTTGATCATTTATAATCATAGTTACATAGCTTTTTAGATGAGGAAGGGATTTTTTTTTAAATTTTATTTATTTATTTCAGAGAGAGCAAGAGAGCACGAGCAGGGGGAGCAGCAGGCAGAGGGAGAGGGAGAAGCAGGCTCCCCGCTGAGCGGGGCTCGAACCCAGCACCCTGAGATCATGACCTGAGTTGAAGGCAGATGCTTAACTGAGCCACCCAGGCGCCCCTGAGGAAGGGATTTTAGCTAGTCTAAATCCCCTCCGTCTTTTTTGGAATAACAACATTAAAATCCTAAGAAAATATCTGGTGTTTCAGATAAACAGGGAACTCGATCAATTTCACATTTCTATAATTTAAAAGATAAGTTCTCTTTTTATCACCTACCCTTCATTTTGAGATATTCCTTAAGATGTCTCACATTTCCCCTCTGTTCCTAACCCTATGCTCTGAGATACATTCCCCTCAGAAGTTCACGTCCATTCAAAGCCCCACGATGAATACAATGACCATTTTCTCTGTGTATTTTAATTAGCATATCAAAACCTACCCTGCTGTACCCATTTGATATTGTGCAATTTGTTGAACTATACTGCTAGAGGATAACTTCATCAGGTAGGAATTTGTATTAACAGAGTTATCAAGCCCCTATAATGGGATAGGCTCCGTTCCTTCCTCCTAGGATACACGAATGAATAGAACCCAGACAGAGACGTGTGCCTCATACAGCTTACATGTATGTAAGGATGAAAATGATCTTTTCTTTCGGACGACTATGACTGGGGTTGAGATTGTATTCGTGGACGGGAACAGAGGTAACCCGCAAGTTTTCAACCAAGCGAACATCACCAAAGCCTCCACTGCCATTCCTCAAGGACACCTGCCTTCATTTGCTTAAACAAGAGTTGGCCACATGGACAGCACTAAGCACGGACTAGCCAAAGTGTGTCCAGGCAAAATCCCACCCATAACTTCCCTCTGACAGGAGCAAGAACTATAGCGCTAAATCAGCCATGTTAGGGAGGTCATCCCTTGGTTTTCCATTGCAAAATGTTTTTAAGCACTTCTACTTTATTTCTAGGATACCTCGGGTGGCTTTTGAGGAGAAGGTGAGCAAGAGAGTGAAGGTCCTGAGGTTTAGCAGTTTGCTGTAGTTCGAGCGGAGCAGGGAATCTGGCTGACAATGTGGAGAAGCAGCAGATTAATTCAAGGGATAGGAGACTGGAGCATGAAAAACTGGAAGGAGCTCGGATAAGTGACAGGGCCAAAGGCAAGAGACACTAAAAGGCTTCAAAATCCTGTGCTCTTGTTCAGTCTGCTTCGCAGTGACGACACAGATCCAGTGTCACTAACATGTTGCTGGGATCCACAGGCTCTGAGCAACTCACCTGACCTCACTCGGAATAGGGGTAGGATGATGTTGCTGCAGCCCCGAGGACAAAGGACAAAGACAACGGAGTTGAGGTGGTGCTGGCAGGTTGGGGCTAGAGCCTCCAGTCACCTCAGTTTCTTTCCTGTCTAGGGGAAGAGACTGCGGGGCTCCATTCTGAAGCTACTCTGGTTGGCCAGGGTTACAGAAACTATGGTGCCGACACACCCACGCATCTGCCTTCCCTTCTTTGCTTTTGTGACCTAGAAAAAATCTTACCCATTTTGGTTACCCTCCACATCTGGAACTTTATCCTTGTCTGGTTAAGTATACTCCCTAGCTCTTGGGAAAAGGGGAGACACTCTTCTTGGTGTTATCGGGAGGATCCAACTCAGACTTTGCTCCAGCCCTTTCTTACCTGAGATGTCACCGTGCAGTGGGCTAAGACCTATAGTGGAAAAGCAAAACTTACGTTCACGACATCTGAAGAAGGTGAAATCAACCTAAATGAGTGGCATCATTTGCTTAAGAGAACAAAAGCATTTACTTACGACTGGGTAATGCAGTGACCTTTCTTATGTGCGCCCATAATTTGCAAGCCACAATATTTTTGGCAGATGACTTGCTTATCTCCTCTCCCAGTGAACGCTTTGACAGACAACAGTGTAAATATCCAGCAGCCTGGGTCCTTGGTTTTGTAAACAACGAGAAAAGAAATAAGGCATTTTGCCTGATGACCAAGGCAAACTCACAAATAGGCTTCTATAAACAGAGGGCAATTGTAAAAGGCAAAGATGACAGAACCGATGGCTTGATCCATGCTTTATATATCTTGCCCATTACACCACCCGGAGGACCCTCTCAGCCCGAACCCATATTAAAAAAAAAAAAAAAAAAAAAACAATAAATACAATTGGGCTCTTGCTTGAGTCATACAGAATATATCAGGCATATTATCTTTCATGATTTTGTTCATGACACAAAAGGTAGTTGCCTCCCACAGACTGAAACTGGAGTTCCTCAGCTGTGGGCTAGTAGGCAAAACACTTCAAATATTTCGAGGCACTTTATCTCAGAATTCCAGCTCTCCAACGGAAATCATATAAGCTGGCCAACTGCAGTTCTTCAGTTAAAACCTTAAATAATAATGATGACTGGTATCTCTAGCTTAGAAAAAAGAATTTATTCAGCACAAGATACATAAAGGTATATATACTCATACATGCATGTGTGCACACGCTCACCTATAAACACGTACAAGCCCAAGTTCCAAAGAAGATCATCTTTCTTCACCTAGAGAGAGGTTAGAATGAAGAATGCATTGTTGTCATCTCATTTCTGCAAGTACTTAGGTTCTTCATTAGTCGACGTTATCTCTGACAGAGAGTCCTCTATCTTGGAATGTGATTGGATAGGCTAATGGAAAACGAAAACGTTCTTTGCAAACACAAGTGCAATAAAGATGCTTAATGATAAACCTTGCATGTTATCAAGTACTCGGGGCCCTTTTAAATCAAAACAAGCAATGGTAAAGGGTATCAGGGAACCCAGAACATTAAAATTCAAGTAAATTTCAATTCCTCTTGGAAAACAGCATGATTGTTGTATGAAACCTTTTTTAAAAATAATGATAGCTAACATTTGTTGAGTGCTCAGAACCAGACGATGCATTGTTCTATGCACTTTACATATATTTTTTCACTTACTCCTCAAAAAACCCTATAAGTTTAAGTACTAAACAATGAAATTTGAAGAATTTTTTAACAGTAACTAGATTACACAATACTGTGATAGAACAAAAAGTTTGCAGTTTCACCTTTACAGAGCTCTTAGACAATATATTCCAGGTCACAGCTAAAGTTATCCTTGTATAATAGGTGAATGTTTCCATGTGTTTCCATTCCTCAGCATTCTAGTTCCTGACAGACATGTGCATCTCTGGATGTTCATGCTTTCTCGGAGAAACAGAAAATGCAAAGCGACCAGTCTTGTCTATACAGAAATAACAGGAGAGTTACCCCGTCCACAGCAAGTCCAACACAACCAAAGCCTTCCAGTATTGCCCAGGGAGAAGCACTTTTTCCTTTGGCTCCCCATCCACAGCATTTTCAAAGGTGGGGGGCAAGGTACACCCGCAAAGATGATCCTCATTGATAAGGTGAAGTACCTCCTTCATTTTCTAAGGGCTTAACGTAGCCTTAGAACTGTTTTCCTAGGAGATAAAGGGTCAAGGGTTGCTGAGCGGCAAATGAGCCCAATATAAAGGAGAGAAAGAGAGAAGGGGGAGGAGAAAGGAGAGAGAGAATGAGAAGGAGAGAAACTGATTTTAGGAAGGGAAAGCAGCAGACAAGACATTTGAGGTATAGGAATGAAAACCAAGAAAAGCCCAGATCTATTAAGGCTAGTGATGAAACAGCTTGGTCATTGAGGCACTTGTCCACATCTGGCAAGTCGAAGCAAATTAAAACACTTACACGTGGGAGCACCTGGGTGGCTCAGTCGGTTAAGCGGCTGCCTTCGGCTCAGGTCATGCTCCTGGGGTGCTGGGATCCAGCCCCATGTCAGGCTCTCTGCTCAGCAGGGAGTCTGCTTCTCCCTCTTCCTCTGCCCCTCCCCCTGCTCCTGCTCTCACTCTCTCCCTCTCTCTCTCTCTCAAATAAATAAATAAAATCTTCAGAGAAAAAAAAAACCACACTTACATGTGTTTATATTTCCAAAACAAAATGACCTCCTAGTATATGCCTTAATGCCCCATAAAGACCACCACAGTGATCTTTAACCTGCAAATTGACACAAAGTCACCTTCATTCACTTTATCTTTTTTCTTAACTACTTCGTTCTTGGAAACTTTTAAGGAAATTGAACTTTTTCTAGAGGCTTAACATAGCCTCAGAACTATTTACTTAGGGGATAAAGGGTCAAGGGTTGCTGAGCTGCAAATGAGCCCAATATAAGGGAAAGAAAGAGAGAAGGGGGTCTTTTGAACTTTGATTTCTGTTTCTTTTTACTTTTTAAAAATTCTTTTTGGTTCAGAAATCCTAGACCATCATTAAACTGGGCAAGCAGGCATTAAGTCTGAATGAAGGATAGAGTGGGAAGGGAGAATGCTTTTTGCCTCTCTTCATATAGACGACTTAGAATCTTTTGGGCATTAAACCCAATTTGGGTAATAGATGACTGATCCCCACTCTCCAACTAAGAATGCAAAAAGTTTCTAAAAAGTTTGAGGTTTATGCAGAGCAGACTTTTAATGAAATGTGGGCTGTAAGAATTTTTTATGTGCAAAAACTGAAATGGGGTTTTCTCGGCCAGCGAGTTCTACTTCTTTCTTTGGGAATGTCTGACTTTCACATCCATTTACTAATGAGAACTAAAAGTAATACTTCATATTTGTAAGTGCTTGACATGAAAATGAAGGAAGACTGCTTCAGTCAGTCTTGTTTGGTTGAAAGAAACAGAGGTGCAGTCAAGTTACTTCACAGAGGTGGCAGTGGGAGGACATGAGATGGGGGAAGGGAATTGTTACAAGGACACCCAGCAAGGACTGGACCGGAAACCCACCAGGACTGGAGGCATCTCTAAGTACTCGTGTCTTACTGCCTTCACTTTCCTTCTGTGTGTTACTCCGGCTTCCTCAACCTTCACTCTCTATCTGTTCTGATCTTTAAAGTTTGAGCCTGCATATGGTTCACGGCATCCTCCCACAATCTGACTGGGCTGCCAACTGGCTGAGTGTCTGAGCTTCCCATTGCCAAATCTCCGAGAGAGGCATCTGATTGGCCCCACTTATCATTTTAAGCTAGTCTATACAGATGGCTGGCCGGGTTACAGAACGGCTGCCTTCACATCAAGTGTCTACCCTTTGGTCCACTCATTTGAGACAAGGGACAAACACGTAGCAAGGAGCATGACTATTTAGAAGGAGGCCCCCAGCAGAAAGATTTCCTCGGAGGAGGATTTGGATGGGGCAGGTGGAGATAAAGGTCCCAGTTGGCCAGCAGATTATGTGGAAACCAGTGTATTCATCTTCCTTCTGAGAGGAGCTCATCCCAACCGATCACGACATACCTGAACTATTTGTGACCCGGCGCATAAGAGTGACAGCACCACCTTCTTTCCTCTCCCCGTTCCCTCAACTTTATCACCTTCATCGCCACTCCATCTACCACTATCTCCACAACTGACCAAGTGCCTTAGGAATCTTCAGACTTCTGTATCAAAACACGAGGAAATTCAACGTAGAGTGCCAGCAACAGTATTTTTCATATTCCAGGACCACTCAGTCGTTTTATTTTAGAGTACTATGCCAGTAGGCAATAAAATATTAGAATAGAGAGAATAGATACGACTCTGCCTACTCCAGTGGCATTTATATTAATAGGAATCCAATTAATACAGGTGCCCAAACTATATTTGGTGAGTGTTGGGAGATCTAAGTCAGCCGACTTCTCACCGTTTGGTTAACCTAATACAGAGAATTAGTTCAAAGAATATTTACAATAGGGACGCCTGGGTAGTTCAGTCAGTTAAGCTTCTGCCTTCGGCTCGGGTCAGGATCCTGGGGTCCTGGAATCGAGTCCTGCATAGGGCTCCTGGCTCAGTGGGGAGCCTGTTTCTCCCTCTGCTTGCTGCTCCCCCTGCTTGTGCTCTCTCTCTCTCTGACAAATAAATGAAATCTTTTAAAAAGAGAGAATATTTACGATAATGACTGATTGTATAATGCCAAGGCAGGGTTGCAAAAGACTATAAACCCTGGCATCAAGCAAATATGGATTCAAATCACAGCTGTCTTATAATAACTGTGGGACTTTGGCAAAACTGCTAGCCCCCACAAATTATTTGTAAAGTAGATATAATAATAACCACTTCATAAGGGTTTTGTATATAGTTAGGCAAGATAATGTTTATAATATTATTTTAAAAAATAAATATTTGGACAAGATAATTTAGGCATAAGTTATTGCAAAATGACTGGCACAGAGTAAGCACTCAATATGTGGTAGTAATGGTTTCCATTACTATTACTATTTTGATTATAATATCATTACCATGGGTGTTACGGGGATTGCAGAATAAAGATGAGCGATATGAGGATTATCTTCAAACACTGTACAGTCTTAAGAGAGATGATATAGACGTACATATTAGAAGTGGGGCATACGTAGAATTTGCACATACACAAGTGGAACTCAGCGTAATTGTGGACTAAGTGGGAAACGTTACGTGTGAAATAATGTTTAGTGATAGTCTTTAATCAGGAAAAGGAGGTTCAAACTCTGGTGAATTTTTAATGGGGATCATGCCTCTTCGAAAAGAAAGGAGGGATTGCTCCCGGTGTAAAAGTTTATCTGTTGTAATGTAAAAAGTCAGGATGCCTAGGATTTTCATAACTGGAACATGAACTCTATGGCAAGCATCAAATTGCAAATGGAAAGGACCTACTGGATGGAATACATGGAAGTCACTGTCAGAAACTAGGAGACAGCCCACTGTTTGGGTGTACATTTCACTTCCTCCGGGAAGCCTAAACCAGGCTAGAGTTCCCTGCTGTATGTTCTCTTCCTGTGTTTTCCCTACTAAAATACTCACTACATACTGGCATTACTTGTAAAGTCAATCTTCTGTGCTCGGTGGTAAGTTCTGTAAGACCCTGATGCACTATTCATCACTTTATTTGCGCAACTAGCCAAGTTCCTGGTACATGGTAGGTACACCACAAACATATGCTGAGTGAATGAATGCATGAATGCAAGAATGAATCAAGTAACGAACATGGAATTCAGAGGTGATTTCATCATATACTGTTCTGCATTGTTCTCTAATATTTATAAGGGTTAGTCTTGACTTCCTGTTGACATTATAAATTGCACTGAGACACGGCAAGAATTCTGCATCGTATGTCTCTACAACTACAAGACATCCAATTACAGGCATAAATCCTCAAAGGGCCTTTCTGAGCTCTTTACTAATAATTCTTTTTACCCCCTACTCTCCATATTCTATCTTCTATTTTCTATACCAATGCAGAGATTATACCTCAGTCTCACTATTAGATTATAAACAGGTCTTTGTTATTTTTATCACCAGGACTTACAACTTGGTAAAGGTCCCATGAATAAACGAGTGAATAAGGGAATATTTGGACAGCATATATTCCAAAGCATACCATCAAACCTTGCAGCCTTCTAGAACCTCACAAATTGCTGTTGTGATTCCAAGCTTACCGTTCATGTAGAAATATATCATCTCAAGCCAACATTTTATCTTTGAAATTGCTGTCTTTGTTGTGACCATTCACACAAATGTTGGAAGTTTTTTCTTGCTAACAAGGCAAATTTTACCTTTGCATGAAAATATTTTTTAAGATTTATTTATTTATTTGAGAGAGAAAGAGTGTGTGTGCATGCGCGTGAGCACAAGGGGGAGGAAGGGGCAGAGGGAGAGAGAGAGAGAGAATCTCCAGCAGACTCCCGACTGAGCGCAAAGCCCAATGTGGGGCTTGATCCCAGGACCCTGAGATCATGACCTGAGCTGAAACCAAGAGTTGGACGCTTAACCGACTGAGCCACCCAGGTGTCCCTGCATGAGAATATTTTTACAATTTTAGGATAACTTGAGAACTTTTGTTGATAAAAATAACATGCTCACTTGCTCTCTAGTTAACAAACCCTAATACGTCCGATCATTTCATCCAAGAAGCTTTTTTGAGCACCTCTTAGGTTCCAAGCACTTGAATTACTCAGATGCAAAAGACTCGTCCCTGAAGAAGGTCAAAGTCTTCATGTACCACAGTCACATTCAGAGGGTCTGAAAGTTGAAGTGTAGACTGTTCCTTTCCAAGGGCCCCTTCAGTCTCACCTCTGTCCTGCATGTTGACTCCTGCAAATCCTTCACAATAGACTACTACTGTATTGAAGGCTTCTGAGTCTGCAAATTATAATTCTTCTGTACTCCCATTAATTAGATCCTGCTCTCAAACCTCCTTACTGTCATGTGGATTTTTTCTATTTTATCCATCCACTTTCCTTTTTAACGCCTAGACAGCATATTTCACAACAATCTTTCTTTAAAATATATAAAATATCTCTCTGTCTGAGTTTCCTCATCTCTAAAAGAAGGATATTGAGAATTTGGGACAATGAATTTGGAATACCAAGGAGACGAACAGGCTAACAAGGAGAAATAATCCCTGAGCGAACAAAGGAAAACCAA